GGCCAGACTTAGCCACTGGACAGTGGTTTGACCTCTGGTCTACACCGAAAAGGCTCACTAATGCCTGGTCCTGCAAGTGGGGAAAACAAAAAAGACCCAGCCGACCACCAAGAAAAAGGACTGTGGAGTTTTAGCACACTAGCCAAATGGTGCAGGTTTGTTTTGTGGTCTGGTTTTGGTCTTTTGGTGCTGATAGGGATGGAACCAGAGCCTCAGGCGTGCTAGACAGATCTTCTAACACTGAGCTGTGAGCCCCAGCTCCTAGCACACGTACTGGGAAGGAGCGATCTCAGAAGCTGGGGCGGGAGATGGGAGTGCTTCAGAATGCTGAGGGAAACCCTTTCCGATCTCAGACCTTCTGCACAACTTCCTGTGAAGTCCCTGGAAGGTGTGTTTTGTTAGATGAAAGAGTAAACCAAGGGTGACAGCCTATGAGGGCCAAGAAATGAGAGAGTGACTCCATATCCAACTGAGGAGACTGGAGCCGCCCCAGGCCTAGAAAGAGGGCTCAGAGTTCTGGGGGCACATTGGGCCATAGAGATAGGGTCATAGGGTCACAGAGAAGGACCAGAGTGAGAAATACGCTGAGTATTGGTGCCTTCAGAGTGGTGTCGCAGTGCTGTGGGGAGGACGGAGAAGGAAACGTTGGGGGTGGGTTGTCAGAGTTGTGGGGATGAAATTGTTTCTGTAATAGGAAGTCAGTAGGTGGCATGCTGTGTTCGAAACCAGAGGGTGAACACCAGAGTATGGAAAGTAGTTGCTTCTGGGGAGAGAAATCAGAAGTGGTGCAGATAGGTAAGCACTGGGGATTGAACCCAGGACCTTTGCACTGAGCGAGGTCCCCGTCCCTTTTTTATTTTGAGACAGGGTTGGCTTGAACTTGCAAATCCTCCCTGCCTCACTCTCCCAGAGTGCGGGGATTACAGGTATGTGCTACCATGCAGAATACTGTTGTGAGCTGTGTAATACTCTTTTTTTAAAACTAGGTATTACATTTATAAGTTTTAATTTTTTACTTCTAATCAGTGAAGGTGAGTTAATACAACATTCTACTTTGTATGTTAAGCTTTATTGATCTTAGTACCTTTACTATAATAACATGATAGTAGAGTTTTCTGTTCATACATATATCATTTGTTATATCAGTTTTGGTTCTTATTCATTAATGATTTGGCTTCCTTGGCTGTGATGGAAAAATATATTCTAAGAAACATGAGTCAGTCCTATGTTAGTCTCCACTTAGAAGGTAATTTAGTTGCTACCTATAAATAGTTTGCAGATCATTGCTACTACCTGAAAGTTATAAGAGGGACTAAGATCCCAGCACAGAACTGAGGAGTTAGAGCAATGAGAGCCCATGGTCCCCTCATGAACCTTCGGAGGCAGGATGGACCCAGAGTTGACCAGCTTCTGCTGTAAGTACTGGCTTTTGTCTTGTCATGTTAAAATTCTGTCTTAAGGCTTAGCCATTTTTTAATGTGTTTACTAATAGAGAAGTGAAATGCCCACATTATACAATTAAAACATACACTGTATGGGGCTGGGGATGTAGCTCAGTGATGCCACGTCTACCTGGCAAGTACAAGGTCCTGAGTTCGATCCCTGGTACTGAAAAAAACAAAAAAATATACCATATGTATGGTTCCATTATTTGACAAATGCCAGTAGCATCAGTGGTATTAAATGTTACCAACTCAGAATATTTTTCCTAGTCTGCTGTCCTACTTCATTGTCAAAATCGAATTCCTTATGTACTTACCTAATACTTACTGTTCATTATAGGCAAGGGTGAATGAAATGCCTTCTGCAGTTTTCTTATTTATATTGTACATGTTTCAAAAACATAAGTCTTTGAGTCGTCATAAACTTGTTTGACTATACATGCTATTATTGTGGGCTGATATTTTTTGTACCTGCTTACATGTAGGAGTAATTTCTCTTTTGAAGAGAAATACTTTAGTGGTGAGGGGACTAATGCTTTAATGGCTACAATATTGGTCACTTGCACTACAGTTGTTTCCGGAAAAAATATGTATTGTTTTCTTAGAAATTTTTAAATTACTGTGAAATGTATATTCTTGTCCTAAAAGAAATTAGCCTGTCAGAATTTTTCCATAGTTTAGAAGTAGGGAACCTGTACTTTGACAGAATCTTGAGATATCCTATAATGACTGAAGAAAACAGCCAGTGTAGAGACAGAACTCTCAGATAGGGGGCCACATGCATTTCCAGTATGGGAACGGGCATGGTAATTGAGAGAAAAGCAAGCTTATGTTTCCTAAACACAAATGTCTTGCATTAGAGACTACAATATTGTCTGATTTATAAACAGTACAATTTTGGTGGGAATAATTATTTCCACCAAAGATGTGTAAGTCACAATTTTCTGTTTGGCACAATTTCTTAAGAATTGTGTGTAGATGGGCATCTCTTTAGTGAACAGACTAAAAATTAGCTAGCGATGTTCAACACTTTCTTCCTTCAAACAGTCTGCAGACTCATGAACTGCCTCTTTGAACCATGTTTCAGTGAACTTGGAGATGCGTTCTGGCTGGTGCTCTCCTCTTGTATCAGCGGATCCTCGGTCTTCTGTGGCCTGCAAGCCCGAGGAAGCGCTGATGTGGAACAGTCCCCTTAGTCAGCTCTTCTACCTACCCGCCCTCTGCCTGCCATGTCAGCATGGCTTTGCCTGTGCTAAAAGCACTGCATTGCTTTGGAAATAGCATGGACTAAGGGTTAACAAGCTAAGAATTAGAAACAAAATGCAGTCAGAATACCATGTGGCTCAGCTGTGAACAGAGTTTAGTTCTTGTGTGGGTCATGTAACTCAGTATCCTGTGAGGGAGCTGCCATTGGAGAGAGAGACATTGCAAAAGTGGGAGTCCTGGACACTGAACTGTTGGGCTTGGCATGAGCTTTAAAAACTGTTATTTTGATAAAAACGAAAGTGGCATCACAAAAATCTAAAAAGACTTAAAAACTTGGATCTATATTACAAACCCCAGTTGAATTTATTCATTAGATGTGGTTGATTTTTTTAAGTGACTTTCCTCTGTCTAGTTTTTAAATTATTAAAAACATTCTTATAGTGTGTCTAATTTTTTGCCATCAATACCACAGTGGTACAGTTATCTGTTAAAAACTTGTACAGCTAGAGACTTACCCAATAGCTTAAGTCAGTACTGTGTCCTTAAAATGGATTTTATTAGCCACTTATAAGGAGCCACTCCTGCAGGATGCTTCTGCCTTCTTGCAGTCATTGTTTTTGTGAGAGAAGTAGGTGGATTTGCTTGTCACAAGGGCTTTTTCTGCTGTGAAAGCCAGCTCGAGAAACATGAGAGGGGAGTTTGGAAAGATCTTGGTTACTGATACTGCTGGGAGGAACAAAGGTTGGAGCCCACCCAGGTCACTAGCCCAGAGAAAGTTCCAGTGTGAGATTTTCACATAATAATTACCATTACATCTCACATTTATCAAGTATTTTGCCCAGGAACTTTTAAAAGAGCCTTTACAGTATTACTTCATTACTTTTTTCCTACAGTGCTCTAAAATGTATGTATAGAGTCTAACTTTGGGGGGGGGGGTTGACACAACTTTTCCTAAAGGTAGTTTGGAGCCATATACAAGGGGTGATCTAAAAATACAGTGAATATTTTAATTTTTAAATCTAAATAAAAATTAATATTTTCCTCCCTCTTGCTTTGAGCACACTTGTCCATCATTCTAGCCACTTTCTGAAGCAGCTCCGAAAGTCCTCGTGCATGAGTGTCTTTACTAGGTGTGATCAAAAGCATTGTGAATGCTGCTGCTGGGTCTAAAAGCATTACAGTACATCTTCTTCCACCTTACTCACTGGGTCTGGCACTGGTGGGACTTCGGCCCTTCCTTAAAGTCAAAATGACCTTGAAAAATAAGCATTTTTAATCTATTCAGGGTATCGAGACAAACAGGATAGCGCAACTGAAGATACTCATGAAAAAGGACTTCCAGAACTGCCTGAGTTTGACAAGAATGATGGGATAAGTGTAGTCAAAGCAGGGTGAGGGTGTTGATGGCTGTGTGTCTTTCACTGTAATAATTTTTAAAAATTCAAACACATTGTATTTTTCATCACACCTCATACTAAAAATCTTAAGAAATATATGCCCTTTTACCCAGCAGATATGTTGATATTCATCCTATAGAAGCAGTTGGAAGAGGATTCCAAGGTGAAGATAAATGCTTATTGTGGTATCAGTGGTAGCATTGGTATGACTTACATCCTACCATAGGAGCCTGCTTGAACTCTCGAGAGCTAAACAAGGGAACATGTGCACTCACAGAAAGTGCAGATGCTGCATGCCCTGCCTTTGGGTAACCCCATGGTGTATTAGAGAACAGAGTAGTAGGGAAATGGGATTCCAGTTTATTTGGTCTTTTAAGTTTGTATGTACAGTATTACGTGAGGAAAGGTTTAGAATATACTTGTATATACCAGAATGTTAATGATGGTTACCTCCGGATATGAGATTTCAGTGACTTAAAGTTTATTTGTTCCCTTTTTATGTAACTATGTATTTAATCCAGCAAAAGTTTATTTAGCCATTGCTGTGAGTGGTCATTGTATTTTCCGGAATGATAATTTATTTCTTGTACAGTTAAAATTTAATGTTACATTTTAGGAAGAAAAATTGCAGTCTTAGAAATTTTTTCACTAAGCAATTAAAATGATGACTTGATTATTGGGGTGGTCTGTTTGATTACATGGAAAATTCGTTACCTGCAGTATTTTATCCACAGAATTTAGAGAATAAAGTGGGACTTGCTGTGAAGTGCTGAGCCATCCAGCCAATCTAGCGCTAATAGGAGACTATTTGCATTTGTATGAAGCCTTTCTTCTTATGAGAGAGAGATGTTAACCTCATGCCCTGCATTCCTTTTATTGATTCAGAAATAAAGTGAACGTCAGTTCATTTGATGATTGACCGTAGATACATAGTTTTAATTTTTTATAATTTTAGGCAACTGCAAGAACAACAACGACAAAAGGAGCTGGAGAGGGAACGGTTGGAGAGAGAGAGAATGGAAAGGGAGCGCCTGGAGCGCGAGCAGCTGGAGCAGGAGCGCCTGGAGCGGGAGCGCCTGGAGCGCCTGGAGCGGGAGCGGCTGGAGCAGGAGCAGCTGGAGCGCGAGCAGTTCGAATGGGAGCGCGAGCGCAGAGTCTCGGGTGCTGGTAAGCGGCTGGCTGTGCTGTGCTGTGCCTGCCTTGCTTGCTCTAGGCCAGGGTGTCCATGAGTGAGGTGCCCGGCCAAGCCGGATGGCTGCAGATTGCAGAAAGCACAAAGCAGCGACAACTTTAATGTTTCCTTCTCGTTTCTCTCTGTATTGCTCCTATTACTTAGAGACTTAAAGAACACTCTTGGCAATTTTTATCTGTCATTCTAATTCTTCTAACCTTATAAATTGGCGATGGAGTGTGAGTGTATTTTTATGGAAATTTTTTGTATTAGATGAACTGGGAAGATAGTTCCCTCATAAAATTTCTCAAATTGTCTCAAATACTGCATGAAGTAGTATAATACCAGGCAGCAAAAAATCAGCTTGAATATAATCTAAAGTTTTTGAAGGAGAAATTAAAGCAGTAAGTAAAAAGTATTCTAAAACTGGATATTTAAATATATTTTCTAGTATTCTGATGGAATTGATTGAAAGACATTAAGATATGCCTGAAAGTTTGAGGCATTCATTAAAATTAACATCCATTATAGAACCTAAGAATTTTTATTCCATGTGACATATATCAGAAGTCTAAATGCAGGTTGATTGGATAATGGTCATTTCAGTTAATCCACTTGTTTTGACTGCCTAATTATTTTCTGGAGGAATAGCTAACAGCTGTTCCACAAGTAAGCATTGAAATAGGAAGTTCTTCACCCTTTGTAGTAAACACTTGGCTAGTTTTTCTATTTGTTTTTTAAAAACTAAATTCATTTTGCATATGATGATTTTAATATTTTAATGGGTTAAATAATGAAAGTTAAAGATGCTATCCCTTTCTTATAAAGGACAAATTTATCTATTTAATTTATTAATGTACTTACTAGTCAAAGAAAATGTCATTTTCTGGATCTCAAGGTATATGTTTACAAGTGAAAATTCTCTCAGGGGAAAAGATTATATGCACATGTGCCCGATTCTCTGTAGCTGTAGTGTGCGTTTATGCAGTTGTCTGATTGCTGGTTTTGTGGCTTCACTCGCTCCTTTTTCTCTCTCCTTTGTACCCTGTCTCTGCCGCTGCTTCCCACCTCTGTGCAGCTCCGTCTCCAGACAGCCCCCTGTGTAGCGCTCCACCTCCTGACTACCCCAGTTGCCAGCCTTCTCCAGCTCCTCCTCCACCACACGCCAAAGTCACCTCAGCTCCGGTGTCAGACGCCGCTCCTGACCACGCTGTCGTGGCAGCATTGCCACCTGCTTCCACACCCCCTGCACCACCACTGCGACACTCAGCCACACGTTTTGCGACTTCTCTAGGCTCAGCCTTCCACCCTGTTCTCCCTCATTATGCTACAGTTCCTCGTCCTCTGAACAAAAACTCTCGGCCTTCCTCTCCTGTGAACACACCTTCTTCTCAGCCTCCAGCGGCAAAGCCCTGTGCCTGGTCCCCTTCTAGTTTCTCTCCCCTCCCCCCATCTCCTCCAATCATGATTAGCAGCCCCCCTGGCAAAGCTGCCGGTCCTCGGCCTGTCCTTCCCGTCTGTGTTTCTTCTCCTGCGCCCCAGATGCCCCCGTCACCAACTGGGCTGCTGGACTCTGTGCCATGCCCGGCGTCTCCACCACCTACCTCAGGGCCACCCCCACCACTGTCCCATGGCGGAGCTTCAGCTGCCCCTCCCAGCACCCCCCTTGCCTCAGCCCCCTCATCCAAGCCCAGTGTTCTCCCTTCTCCCTCTGCAGCTGCCCCTGCCTCTACGGAGACTCCTCTAAACTCTGTGCTGGGAGACTCCTCTGCTTCTGAGCCAGGCTTGCAGGCAGCCTCTCAGCCGGCCGAGACTCCACCCCTGCAGGGTAAGGCTTTCCTCATTGCTGCTGGCAGCCAGGGCTGCCATATGGAAGGAAGGGAGGAGAGTTTAATAGTGGGACATCAAGATTCCAGAGTGCCACGTGGGGTCTTTTTCCATTTGAAAAATTAAAATGGAAATGAATATTTTTTATTCTGTTTTATCATTTGCATTTGGAAGGTCGGTAAGGGGAATTTCCATTTTGCCCTAAGTTTAGTATCTACTACAGCATCATAAAAGGTGTTTTCTAGGGCCGGAGATTTAGCCCAGGGGCACCACGCCTGTCTCGCAAGCACAAGGTCCTGATTTTGATCTCTGGTACCATTAATTAATTAATTAATTAATTTAAAAAAGATGTTTTCTAGTAATACTAGAAATATTAACACAGTGGTGCCTCTGTTCATGAACTTTCTGGAAAAGATGACCACGTTCGTGTTCGTGCAGGAAAGGTGGCATGATCATGTTTGTCACCCGATGTAGAGTTTGCAAACAAAAACAAAATTTTGCCAGATACTTCTGTTTGCAAACACTTTTGTTCGTGAACCAAGGTACCACTGTACATTTCTTTTAAATTTTACTAGGAAAACTTTACTTGACCTATTTGATCAATGGTCTAAACTGTTTTCCTTTACTTTCTGGGAAACTCAGGGATTTACTTAGTGCTGGCTATGGTCTTGATGTGCTGTGCTAAGTCCCCCTAGTGCAGTTCTGATTTGGGACCCCCAGCAGCAGGCTTTCAGGTGGTACACACTGAGCCCTGGAGCATGCTGGCTGTGCAGGAGGGTGCAGAAGACTCCGAGTGTGCCACAGCCCAGGTATCAGAGGGCAGCAGCCTGCACAGGTGCCTGCACCTGCTGGGTTTGGGAAGAAGGGTACGGCCCCAGAGCAGTGGTGGTGAGTAGGGAGGGCTGGCTGCTTCTGAACGGGAGTAAGGTACCTATGGCCCTGTTTGGGTTTTTGTTTTGTCTTTATTTAGAATTTAGTGAGGATTACGGAGAGGGTGCTGAAAACAAATCTAGACTTCACAGCATTAATCTCAATTTAAACGTACCTCTTTAAAAATCTTATTATCTAAAATAATGTAATAAGGGTTGTTAATGCTATGCATATCTTTGTTGTTGACTTGTGAAATTTTCTTTAAAATGGAATCAAATTCCAAATTTAGGGCCAGGATCAGAACTACATCAGCACACTAGATGAGGAAAGTGTGGTCCTCTGTGCCCTTCAGGAGGGGACAACCGCTTCACTGTCTCTTCCTGAGGCTGGGGTAGTTACAGGCGCACTTGACTTGTGCTGGAGACCCCTTTCAGTCCTTCAAGAAGGAAATTGCCTGCTAGTTCAGTATTCTGACACTAAGTCAATTCCTGTTTGATCCGTCGGTGATTTTATGAGCTTCGAACATTTCTTACGCACCAACTTGAAGGCTAAACACTTGTACTTCAAACTGTATGTTACTTCTGAGAGTTATGTTAAGATTTTACTTGTCTTGGTAAATTCCCTTACTGCAGTGATTCTTAACCCTGGCTACACCTGCAGTTTCAGTATAGAATATTTTTAAGGTACTGGGCTGGGACACATTCTTCTTTCACATTCTGAGCCCAATCACTCTGGCCATGTATAAACAGGAAACATCTGTCTTTGTTATAGTTAGGGTACCAAGATACACTGTCTCAGCACTCACGTGGATTATTTGCAGTATGGTATTTCAGATAGTACTACCTGCTACTACATTTACGTGTTTGTTTCTTAAAGAATGTCTGCCTCTCTCCCAAATTTTATAAGCGTTTTAGTTTTCAAATCTCCATGGGGAAAAGCATCTGATCAGATGGTCTGCTGCATAGTTCACTATTAGAGGCCGAACATTAATGCTTGTGTGTATGTGCGTATTGACTCTGTCTCAGCATTTAAAACTGATGTGCACTGTAAGCAGCACAGCAAGTGAGACCGCTGCCCTGTGCGTCACCCGACACGGCACTCTGCGTGCCTGTCCTCACTTGCCTGTCCTCACGGCGCAGGGCCGCTCCGCCCGCGAACTGACGTCTGTCTCCACGTTCCTCTCCTGTTCCTCCCCCAGGCGTCGTCTTGGGCCCGCC